AAACCGCGTACACTAGAGGTGCGCGAGTAACATCCTAACTTACGGGGTTATTGCTGTGTCGTAGCTTTCTCTAACCAATCCTAGTATATCTTAACCCTCTCTAGACGCCAATCGTTTTTTGGTGTGGGCGAAGGAGTCATCGTTGCCATGGTAACAACATTTTTGTCAAAATATTCTAGAACCTGTAACTTCTGCAGTTTTTACCCGATTGTCATGAAATTTGGCACACAGGACCAATATATACATATATATATATGACATGTTATATCGGCCCTGTGTGCCAAATTCCATGACAATCGGGTAAAAACAGCACAAGTTACAGGTTCTACAATATTTCCACAAAAATGTTCTTACCATGGCAACGATGACTCCGCCCACACCAAAAACGATTGGCGTCTTCGCTTTACCATAACGCACCTTGGCATCTTGGGGAGAAGGTGTGCACAGTACCAAAACCAGGTCACTGCGACCATTTACTTGCACATTTGAGGCAGACCAGTTGTCAACAAACCTTTGTCTTTGTGACTTATTTAACTTTACCTGCCTTACTGAGATATTCCATTCATACTAGATCACGGGGGATACATGTAGTTGGCGACAACTGCTCGTTTCTAGTTAATCATCTGTGGATGAAGGCCTGGGATAATTAGAAGACTGCTACAGGACCGTATTCCTTTTTATTTTACTCGTACGCATGAAGGAGGTGTGGCCAGTCTACGATTGTCGAGCATATTCTGCCGAGGTAGTTGTTTTTGATTTGCCCTCGATTTTTAGATGCGTGACACTAATAATGGCACGTTTTTCCCCGGGGCGATGCGATATGCGATATGCGATATGCGAATATACATGCGAATGATTTCCGGGGGAAGGGACGTGGGTTGGTGACGGCAACATGTTCGAGTCTGTCGTTATTTATAGTTTGCCCATCTGTCACCATGTTTTTTTACTCATTTTCCCCACTAGGTCAACAAATCGAACACCCATAAGGGATTTCTAGATTGCATCTTCGTGCGAGGCGAGACAATGATAGAGTAAAATGCTTTGGGCGGAGACGGGATAGGAGGGAAGACCATGGCTTGTGCCTGTAACTCTACCGGGTCTAGATCTTGGGATTTATTCAGTTGAACCGTGCCTTTCTCGATCCAAACTATCGCATCTCTTGTTAATATTTTAACCGTGTCAATAATAATAATGAGCTTGTGGCTAATTATAGGCTCATAATAACTTATAGTAGTTCTAAGCTATGGCATCCCTGTCAAGCTCAATCATGAATTGATAATGCTTTAACATGGTCCTTGAAAATTCATATATAGCCCTTGATAAGTCCTTGATTAATTTGAATTAAAACAAAAAATTCGTATGAACCATGTATGCGATTCTATACTAAACTGTGTTGTAGTAGTAGCATGCAGTAGCAGTAGCATGCAGTAGCAGTAACAGCAGCAGTAGCAGTAGCAGTAGCAGCAGCAGCAGCAGCAGCAGCAGCAGCAGCAGCAGCAGCAGCAGCAGCAGCAGTAGGTGCGAGTAATGGACTCATGGTACTCCGTAGCGAACACTCCTGCGGTAAGCGATTCGGTTCGTTGTTATATAGATATATAGGCGTCTGGCAGTGACTACCGATGCGAGTCTGGTAGTGATGCCGAGGTCACTACCACCGCGCAGAGCGAGCGTCACCAGCACCAGCCGCAGCGGCGGGCTGAGTGATGCCCGCAGCCGGCCTCAGCATGGCAAGCGGAGAGTTGTTGGCTGCTCAAACACACCAAGTCTCACGCGCACCCGCACCAGGAGTTGCGACTAATTAATTGGCTTCTGTTGTTAATGAGCCGACGTCATCGCGCCGTGCTTTAGGGCTTCAGCAGGGATGCGGACGATGCTCCGCAACGCAGATGGCCCGGCGGCGACGCGAGCGAGCGGGTTTTTTACGGCCGTCTTTCCGCCGGCTGGCGTCTGTCGAGGTTTGAGGAGGTTCCGGGCGATACCTTCCCAGATGCGGCGATCGCGGGAAATCAGAAACCTGAGGTCGGGATTAAGCGTGGGAACGTAAAAAGCCATCTGTCTCGGCACGCGACGTGCTCGTGCGTGGCTACTATAATCGAGACGGATCTGGAAGCGGCGGGGCTGTGGGGGCAGTGAGAGGGGGACGATTCTAATCGCCGGAAGGAAAAATTAGGAGAGAAGCGACGGTCGTAGATATTCTTCCTGTCCGTTAGAC